ATTATCTTGTAAAATTAAATTGAAATTTAAAAATATGTGAAAGCACGACATGAACTATGACGTCATCGCTATTAAACTAAACGGAAGCGAGAGAGACCGAAAGATATTCTCTCTACAATGTTGTATAATAATATATTAAACAACACGCTTATTTTATAACCAATTTCGATGGTATTTTCAAAAAAATGTTTTTTTTTTAATCTAGTTAGTTTTAAGTAACGAATGGAGTTTCTTCTCCATTAGAATCTACATTTTGGAACGAGCGCCTAGCTTCACTGACGGACAGACTGACAAACTATTATTTATTTGGTATTTGTTGACGTTTTACTGTACTGTCGATGTATGAGAAAATAGGAAACAAATTGTGATTCGCGTAAATCCGCCTGTCGTTCAGACACTTCACAGGTTTATTTTTATAAATACTTTGTCTTTGACTTTGAAGTTTACAGTATATTTTTAAAGTATAAGTCCTACATCGCTGATAAACCGACCTAAACCTAAATATCACATAAAATGAACCAACAAACTAGTTACCGCTTAAAATAAACTCATTATATTAATAAATGGATACTTGCCTTAATCAAAAATAAACTATGTCGCCTGTTCAATACATACAATAAAATATTAAAAAAAATAATCACACTTTCATTAATTGATTCTATGACCAACTTAATTTTAGTATTTTTCCAGCAAAATTTTAATAAATAAGTACGCTGTTTGACGCTAAAAAACGTGACGTCACAACACACAATCGCGTACAAAATTCATAGAAAACTGTCGCTTTTGACAGTTCGAAAAAAGTATTGAATTTGACTAGTTGGCAAGTACCCAATTATTTTAGTGTATAAAATTATAACCTTTATTTTGGAACTAAAAATATAGGTAACAATGCATTCTGTCTTTAAAATATATGTAAAAATAAAAGAGTCTGTATGTTTTGTTTCGAAATAGTATCTTACTATAATGCAAGTTTTCACCAACGTCCTCTTAGCTAAGATAAGTGACACTTAATTACATTTTGGTTATTATTGTGACACTTAACAGTACAAGTAAGGCAGTTTAGTGGTTGGTGAAAACGGGCATAAGTCATATTCTGGACAAAACTACTTCGACTCTTAATAAAAACATATGGTAAATAACTCTCGAGGTGAATACGAATCGACTAAGGTTTTATATCACGAAATGTATTGGAAAAAAAATAAATAAACATATAATATAATTTACATACAAACATACAGATCATAACATCTCCAAAACTTTAATTTTCGCCCTCACCAGATGGCGCTTCTGTCGATTTAGATGCTCTATTTCAAACTGTCATACTATATGTACATTACATTATACAAAAACAGTTTTCAAGACATTCCTCGAATAACGCCACCTATTTAAACACGCCACCTAGTGGTTATTTAAACTTTTGAACTGTAAAATTCTCTGATAAGACCAATTCAATCCCAACTTTTGTATAAAAAACATAAATAAATGAATAATACAATACTAAACAAGGATGCTGTGATAAATGCTCAAACCTTCTCCGTGTGAGAAGAGGCTTTGCTTAGCAGTGGACATTTATAGGCCGTTGATGATGATGATAATGAAATAAGGACGTTGTAAAAAAGGCAGACATAAGTTTTTATAATAACTATCGTGAGACATACTTTTTTTTAAGAGGGGAAAATCATCGAAACCTTTCGCCTGGGTGATGCGGGAGGGAGGGTCAGACTCTTACTGGCTAAAAACCACCCCGTTCCTTCTCCTGCACGTAGAGCCGGCGCCGCCCCGGTTACCCGTTAGGTTCTCCGCGACATCGTGAGACATACTTACAGACATACTGAGAAAAGCTCTACTAGTATCAGTAGCAGCTCACTGAGCTGCGCGACGTAGCCGCGACCGCGCACGCTACTCATGAGGAAGAACCCCTCCGTGGTTCTAAACTAGTAGAGCTTTTCTCAGTACAGTCACGTGAGTAACCCGCTATTTTAGTTAACAAGGCAGACATAAGCTCTTGTGACGACTGCGGCACCTGGCTACTATAGACTTACACGCAGAACACACATTGACACGAAGGGCATCTGTCACTTTCTTAAGTCTCGTAACGTGGTAACCCATTACACACGCACACATAAAAACACTGACAATTTTTTCCTTTATTATCCTTGATAGGTTGACGTTTGGTCACCATCTCGCCTGGTGGTAAGCGATGATGCGGTCGACGATGGAGCACGCCTACCTATGAGCAACCTGTTCACTCGGGACTTGAAGACACCCAAGTTATATATGTCGGGAAACACAGATTCCGGCAAGGAATTTGTTTCGTTAGCGGTTCGCATGAGGAAGCTTGACGCGAAACGCTTCGTGCGAATGGGTGGAATGTCCACCATATAAAGATGGCGTCCTGCCGTTCGTCTGTTAGTACGATGGTGAAATTCAATCTTCAATCATTTCTAAGTAACATGTCTGTCTTTTTTTTTCAACGTCCTTGACACTAAATATACAATCGATATTTATTATTTTCGATTCGCTATTAAACACGCCATTACAGAAACAACTTTGGTGGACGCGTATTTCAATTTACAACTTTCCTTTTCCGTATTTGAATTTTATTTTAATTTAATTAATAAAACTAAAAACTAAAATTTACACCAGAACCCCGGAAATCAACCGTATTTCACTAAAACATTGGAAATGCAATATTTATGATTAAAATAATTTATAATTCATTTAAAAAATTATAATTTTCTGACATAGAAATGATCTGTGTTATTCAAAAACATAAAATAGTTTGAGGATAGAACTCTCTATAGCTAAAATAAGTTTTATTTCAATCAGAATAAGACCTAATATGCATTAACACCTCTTGATTTAGAAATCAAGAATTTGAAAATAGGACATACTGTAAAATTTAACAGATACAAAAATCAGTAACGAATTTTTTCCAAACCTTTTAAAGGCTCCGTTCGAGCTCGAAACTAATCGGACCAGCCCGAAATACTTCAAAACTTCGTATTCCTCATTTCAAAATAATATTCCCCAAACCAAGAGATGCTATAACAAAAAAGAAATGTAATTGCACAATATTAATTTAAAATTTGAATTAAAAACTTAAACTTATATACGCACTGTCCTATACAATCATACATACATACATACATACAAGTTTTTATACAGACGCTCCACAGACAATGCAACATGTAATATTTATGTTTCGGAATAGTATCATCATGTCTCAACGAAAACGACTTATATTAGTATTGTAACTTTCGTCAGACATACTAAATAAATTATTATGTTTTCGGCTTACTCACGTAATAATTTGAAGAGTAGCCAGTAGCAGCGCGACAGTCGCCGCGTCGCGGGTCGCGAAATGCTGCTCATGAATATGAGCCTCTAGCATGGCTTGACACTAGTCGAGTTCCTCGTCAAATTATTACGAGAGTAAGCCGAAAACATAATAACGACTGTTATTGAAAAAAAAATAGATTTTTAATAGCAAAAAGCTTTAACTGATATTAAGCAAAAACAGCAAAACTATGTAACTAGTAAATTGTATTGTGAACCTCATTGAAAAAGAGTAACCTATGGAGTTTCTTGCTCGTTCTTCTCCATAGGAATCTACACCTTGGAATGAGCAAATAGCTTCACTTTTAATTTTCTTTTTGTTGACGTTCAAAAGTGCCATTCTGGCCTTATTGAAATAAATGATTTTGACTTTGACTTTGACTAAGATCAATGACAAAATTATTATTTTTAACATTCTTTGGGCTCCGGTTGAGCTCGAAACCATTCGACCTACCAATACGAAAAACTTTCATAATAGTTCTTGTTCTCTTTTATTTTACAGTTGCTTTGTCTGTGAAGCGATTAATATGTCATAGTGTATTTTATTACTAGCCTCGGTATTGAGTAGCAGGAGTAGGAACAGGGTGGTTTTAGTCAGTAAGAGTCTGACACTCCCTCCCGCCTCACCCAAGGTGGCAGAAGTCATTCGATGATTTTCTACCCACAAAAAAGGTCGCAGACAATTATTGAATACGAATAACGTCTTATCTATCGACTTGCCGGACTAACAGCCAGTTTCTATAACCTATCTATCTGTAGATTTCCTTACTAGAGATAGAATTATGACACTTTTTGTATGGAGCTCATGTCAAAATTCTATCTCTAGTAAGCAAATCTACAGATAGATAGGTTATTGAAATTGGACGTAAGGAAGATACCTTTGTTCAGCAGAGAGCTTAACACTTTACGTGTTACCAATTTCGCCATCAGTGGACGCCTTTTAACTGATAATAGAATACACTATGTCATTATGTAATATTTTGGTTATGTATTGTAAACCGTGGGTATATTATTACAGTCGTATCTTTCAGCTTGTGAACTGTGACGTATGATCCCTTACACCTAGTAGTTAGCTGCTTTTACTACCTGAAATAAATACAAAAAATGACATTTAGAATACTGTAAAATATAAATAGAATGCCGGTCGATTCCAGCCGGCCTATCTGGGAGTCATGTATCAAGTCTCATTATAAGATGAGGAACATAGTCTATCAGTGAACTGTCATCGGCTTTCAATAATGATGATAATTTATAGCCGTTTTCACCACTCTCTTAATTTTTAATGAACCTTAAGCTAAGATAGTTACCGTAATTTATGTTTTCATCAACAAGTACAAGAACAGTCTTAGTTTAGATGCTCCTTAGCGCTAAGTAACTTTTGAGAGATGGTTTAGGGGTTGATGGAAACGGCCAATAATTTCCAAATACTAATTAGGATAAAAAATAAGGTATAAGAATTTTGACAGATTATTCTTCAGACGTTTAATGTCATTTCGACGAAACCAAAATAGTTATCGTTTGATTTTCGTTTGGGTTAAATTTTATTGAAAAATGAATGAAAGTAATTACAAGTCTTCGTTTTATCACGGTTTCTTCGTGTGGGAAACGGCCAATGATTTCCAAATACTAATTAGGATAAAATATAAGGTATAAGACTAACGTTACGTGTGCCTGCGCTGCCCCCGTGACGCGATCCTGTACGCGATGAATGGCCACACGGCGAGCAGTAACAGTGTCGGCGCGCTCAGCTCCTGCCACGGCCATCGCCAGCCGCGGGATACTTGCTGTACACAAAGTCAAAGGATTTATTTTAAACTAGTTCCCGTAGGATTTTTAGGACTTTTTTCTGTCATAAAAACCTTCTCCTGACGATAACAAACACAACAAAAATAAACCAGCCAAATCGGTCTAGCCGTTCAAGTTATGGCGTCACAACGGGAAACGGGTTTCATTTTTATATTTATACATACATACTAACGGACCCAACAGACCTCAGTGACCTGCTATTGGAAATTGGAAAGGTTTATATTCAGCAAAACTAGTAACTGACATATTTGCTGATGGATTGTGTCCGGAATGAGCGGGAACGTGAGTTACTCATTATTAGAGAATTAAAACTTAATAAACTGGATGTAGGCTTAATACAGTCAATTCTGTCATCACCATGTTCAGAAACCACAAAAAATTTTTGCAATTTAGTCACAATAGGTACTTGATGAGTAACTCAATTTCCTTTCTTTGTCCTCAATTGTTTTTTTTTTGTATTTTGTTTTTTTTAATTTTGTATGTATTTGATAGGTCACATTTTGTTAAAAGGTATGATGGGGTTGGCATATCAAAGATAAAAACCCCTTAAATAAAAAACAGATTAAAAAAAAAATAGTAACTGACACAAAATTAGGTGTGGGAGAGCCATGCTTCGGCGCGAATAGGCCGACTCGACCGAAGTGATACCACGGCCTCACAGAAAATCGACAAACAACGCAGGTGTTGTTTCACGTCGTGTGAGTGAGGTTACCGGAGACTTAATTAATCCCCCCCCCCCTTCCATTTCAATCTCCCCAATCCCCGATTCCCCTACAATCCTCAAATTCATAATCTCCAAAAGGCCAGTAACGCAGTTGTAACGCGTCTGGTGTTCCAGCTGTCCATGGGCGACGCCGATTGCTTACCATCAGGTGATCAGAGTGCTTACTCTTGAATCCAATTCCGATCGATCGACATTGACATTGTGAAATTTCGTACTCTTGAGTTGTAACACTAGCGCCTTTTGCATCCGTATTGATATCCGCGTGGATATTTCATGAACTAAATGGTATTCAGTTTGGTTTTATATTCCGTACTCTGAATGCTACTTTAGCAGCTACGATAAGGGTTGTATAGTTTTGACATTTGATAATTATTGAGATTTTATTGGATTGAAATTGTATTGACATTGAGATTGGTTTCAAGAGTAAACACCCTGTTTGCGAAATTGAGCCACTTACGTCGAGTATCCTCCGGTCTCCTTCGACGGCCTTCCTGAGCGCCGCTACGTCAGCCTCGAGCCGCGCCAGCGTGCCTGGTAGCTGTTCCAGTACTTTAAGATCTGTAATATAACAAAAAAAACATGTTTATTAAAACTTTGCCGTAAATTTGTGATGTAGGTCTACATATGGAGGTTTTTAAATAAAGACAAAAATGTTAAACTTAATCACGAAATTGTGTAATTGTGTTCGTAGAGTAGTGCATCGGTTTTATGAAAGAATACATTTAACTTTCCAGTAGCCATATTTTATTTTATGCAACACTAGCACACCCGGCGAACTCCGTTTCGCCACAGATGGCTTCGTTTTATGTAATATTTCGTTTGGTGATTAAGAAAGACAGATTTTTTTCCTGAATTTTCGAGACCTTTCCAACGAATGCAAAACCGTGGAAATCGGTTCGTGCGTTCTGGAGTTATAGCGTCAGGAAGGAAAACCCGACTTATTTAGTAGATTATAGTGTACAATTTGTTTGAAAAATCGAACATAATCTACCTAATTCAATATTCTACACAGGGTAGAACCTAGTCTATTTCTAAATAACATAACACCACGCCTTTTATCCCCGGAGGGATAAACAGATGTGCACATTATGCCACTCAATGCCATTGTACAATGTAACACCCACTTTTCACTATTTATGTTATGAGTCCCAAGTAATAGGGGGTGAGCCTATTTGACATATACCGGGCACATTTCCAGACTCCGTGCTACTACTGAGATTTAAAAAAAAACCAGTAATACTTTGTCCGACCCGGGAACGAAATCGGATACACGGAGATCGAAGCCGAGACCCCAATCTAGATCTATCTCTTCTAAATGTAAGCTCATCAAAAACGAAATAGCAGTTCAGACATTGAAACGAGACACCTTTTTTTTTTTTGACGGGGGGAAACCTTCCAAAGGCGCCTAGCTTTTTGGGGAAAAAGACTAAGGAGTGTGGGATTTTTACCTCACTAAAACCTCCCCGGTGGCGACCATCCGCACTTGAAGGGGGCACCGGGTCCTCTTAGTAGACCAACTCCGGTGCCCTCATAGTGCAACGCCTGTTACGGCACCTCCCTATGGAGACCTATGTGTCTCTCCTAGAGCATATCTGTGCACTGCACGGCGGCACGTGACCACTGTGCCGCCGTCATCCTTGAGGTCATTAGGTGGGCGCCTAGATTCCCCACTCTATGCGCCCATGACCCCATGAAACGAGACACCTACCACACGAACAAGAGAACTTATATTCTCACTTTTAATCTCTGTAGCGTGTCTGAGGACGATGTAAAAAAATCTATGCTTTCCATTAACTCCTCTGCAGTGGGTAGTGATGATTTATGTTCCCGCATGTTCATCCCCATTCTTAATCTCCTTCTTCCTATCCTTACTCACATTTTCAATTTCTCTTTATTTTCCTGCTCTTTTCCTTCGGCTTGGAAAAATGCCCACGTCATCCCTTTACCCAAAATTAATAACCCTTCTTCTCTTTCTCATTATCGACCTATATCCATCCTGCCTTTCCTCTCCAAGGTTATGGAACATATTGTTCACAAACAATTATCTTCCTTCTTATCATCTAACAGCCTCATCTCGCCTTTTCAATCTGGATTTCGCCCTGGCCACAGCACTGTCACAGCTCTACTCAAGGTGACTGATGACATTCGCTTGGCTATGGACAATAAATTCCTCACTATTCTTGTGTTGCTGGACTTCAGCTCGGCCTTCAACTCTGTGGACTTTGACATTCTATTGGGGGTCCTGAAGGCCAATAATTTCTCACCTTCCTCTCTGGCCTGGTTTGAATCCTATCTTCGGGGTCGCCGTCAGCGGGTCCACCTAGAGGAAACCTTTTCCGATTGGTGTGACCTTGCGGCTGGCGTTCCCCAGGGTGGCGTCCTTTCTCCTGTCCTTTTCTCCATCTTCATTAACACCGTTGCCAGGGTGATCTCTTCTAATTTCCATCTCTATGCAGACGACTTGCAGTTATACCGTCACTTCAACATATCTGAAGCTCATTCTGCTTTCGATGCCATGAATCGTGACTTGGGTGGAGTTGCAGAGTGGGCCAGATGTTTTGGCCTGCAAATCAATCCTCTCAAGTCTCAGGCCATGGTTATCGGAAGCAGATATTATCGTAACGCTCTCGACGTCTCTGGTCTTGTTCCATTACGTCTGAATGGCACTGTGATTCCATTCACTGATTCTGCAAAGAACTTGGGAGTGCATATCGACTCAAATTTGTCCTGGACTGTCCAGGTGAACGAGGTTAGTCGGAAGGTTTATTTCTCCATTCATTCCCTGAGGCGCCTCCAGACCCTGTTGCCTGTGAAGACTAAGATTCACCTCGTCCAAGCGCTAATCCTGCCTCTGATTGACTACGCGGATGCTTGCTATTTGGATGCTACAGAGGAGCTTTTAAATAAACTTGAGCGATTGCAAAATGTTTGTATCCGCTTTGTCTTTGGTTTAAGAAAGTACGACCATGTTTCCGTATTCCGCAATAGGCTCAAGTGGCTTCCGATCCGTCTTCGCAGGAACACTCGCATTTTATGCTTCCTATATAACATCCTCTTCAACCCTGCCTATCCTGCTTACCTTCGGGATCGTTTCTCCTTGGTTCGTCCTCCTGAAGTCCTATCTCGTTCACACCTTAAATCTAATCTTAAAATCCAACCCCATAATACCGATTTTTATTCCTACTCCTTTTCCGTTCATGCAGTGAGGCTGTGGAATGCGCTCCCGCCTAACATTCGGGACGCTGAGTCTATCGCTATCTTTAAAAAACGAGTGAGAGAACACTACCTTTCCTCCTGATATGTAAATTTCTTCATTTATATGTATAGTTTATATTTTGTATGTATTTATTTATGTATTGTATGTAGTTGTTTGGTTATTTATCTGTTAGTTTTAAGTCTGTTTCCTATCCCAATTTTCTATTTGTTACTACACACTGTGTCATTATATTATTATTACTTTTCCTGCTCCAGGTCCACAGGAAGAAATTCCAATAGGAATATGTGGTACCTTTGTACTTTAATTTTATGTATGTGTTGTCCTTTATATTGTATGTGTGTACATAAATAAATAAATAAATAAATACATTTATGAATATTATTTGATTGGTCAGCTCCAGACTGTTTTAGTTTCTGTCCTTAAGTTTATTTTTTTTTCGACCTCTTTGACTGTATTTAAGTATTACATTGTTCTCGCACAATCCAAACAACAAAACTATGTAACTAGAAAATTGTATTGAGAACCTGATTGAATGAAGTTTCTTGCTCGTTCTTCTCCATAGGAATCTACACCTTGGAATGAGCAAATAGCTTCCATTTTTAATTTTTTTTTTTTGACGTTCTAACGTGCCTCTCTGGTCTAATTGAAATATGTGTGGGAGAACCATGCTTCGGCACGAATGGGCCGGCTCGACCGGAGTCATACCACGGCCTCATAGAAAACCGACGTGAAGCAACGCTTGCGTTGTGTTTCGTCATGTGAGTGAGGTTACCGGAGGCCCAATTACCCTCCCCTTCCCCAATCTCCCCAATTCTTGAATCCCCAACGATCCTCAAACTCCTAATCCCCAAAAGACCGGTAATGCACTTGTAACGCCTCTGGTGTTCCAGGTGTCCATGGGCGACGCCGATTGCTTACCATCAGGTGATCCGTATGCTCGTTTACCGGCTTATGCCATAAAAATTTTTTTTGACTATATTGTAACTTACGTGTGAGTTGCGATGTGATTTGATGCGCATGTCCGTTGCTGAGCCTCTGTGCTGTCTGACGCTGCGGCGGCGGCGCGGGCGGGGCCGACTCAGAGTCACTCTGAAGTACAAACAACAAACAAACATAGATACAGACAATATTTAAACAACTAAACGGCCTTTCTCTATCTCTTATTCCTGTGATAGAACATATGGATAATAACCATTGCCTTTAGCCAAACGCCACTTTCGCACTTGTCTACAGAGAGAGTAGAAATCAAAATGTATGGGGATGACACTAACAAGACTGCACGGTTGGTGTGGTGGCTGGGCAACCGGCTGCCGTGCAACGTGTCGCGGGTTCGATTCCCATTGTGATCCAAAAATTGTTGTTTTGGTTTTGGGTGTCATTGTGAATGTGAACTTGTATGTTTGTAAATGCACCCACGGCACAGGAGAAAATCATAGTGTGAGGCAATGTTTAAAAAAATAAGTGTCAAAATTTACGTCAATCCCACATAATTTAGTTTTCTATTCTACATGTAGACAAGCGCTAAATGGCATTTGGCTACAGCTGTATGGCTATTAGAAATAGAATTTTTTCATATTTTGTCTGTCAATAGTTACATTTTCAATCTAAAGGAGGGCTAACGGTTAGTGCTCACCAGATGGACTGATATAACCTAAGTTCCTGTTTGCCCAATGACTGTCAGTAGCTATAGGAAATTCTCTATTGGGTACTTTCCTTAATCAAAAATAAATTATTCCGACTGTTCAATACAATAAAATATTAAAAAATAATCACACTTTCATTAATTGATTTTATGACCAATTTCATTTTTGTATTTTTCCAGCAAATTTTTATGAAATAAGTACTATGCTGTTCGACGCTAAAATTCATAGAAAACTGTCATTTTAGACAGTTCGAAAAAAATATTGAATTTGACTAGTTGGCAAGTACCCAATTGGACAAACTAAATTCGTATTACCGCCATCTAGCGGATACAAAAAACAGTATTCCACATTAGATAATATTCATGCTACTTGCTCTTGATGCATTCTGGAGATGCTCAATAAGTTTCGAGCCCGAACAGAGCTCATAGGTTTTACAGCTTTAGAGTAAGCCACATGAACATTATTATATTGATTACATTACAAATATTATGTGGTTTTAAATAATATGAGTATTATCACACTGACTGCACGGTTGGCGCGGCGGTTGGGCAACTGGCTGCCGTGCAAGATGTCGCGGATTCGATTGCCGCACGGAACAACTCTTTGTGTTATCCACAGATTGTTGTTCCGGGTCTGGGTGTCATGTGTATGTGAACTTGTATGTTTGTAAACGCACCCACGACACAGGAGAAAAACTTAGTGTGGGGCAACGTGTTAAAAAAAATGATGTGGTGAGGTGTTTATATTATGTTACTGTCTACGAAAGAGAGAGTTGTTTAATCTTGTTTAAAAAAAAATTGTCAGTGTGATTAGACCCAAGAGTTTCAGGATAAACATTGTGCCCTAAGGCTCTATCTACTGACATTTATAAATATTTTGTTTATAAATGCAACTGATCTTTATATTTTTTAATACTATGAATACATTTGCATGCGTTCGACCTCAGGCAAAAGGCATTCTACTATAAATGGTATTTATGGTCAATCCAGACAATACCCTGCGTTTTATTCTTGCAATGGGCCCAAAATCTATAACCGACACATATGTTAGAAATATTTTCGTGCTGTAAAGTAGACTAAAACTTAACGATAAAATCTATAACGATTTCCAGAGGTCCCTGCTACCTTTCAAAAATCTAAATTTTTCGGTTCGGTATTAAAATTACACAGCAAAAGTCACAATAAAGTCGAATTTTAGTTTATATTAGCGTCTTTTCGTCGAATTTTTGTACGCATCTTTTGTTGTAAATATAGTGGTACAGTAAAATATATCTACATGTCATACAGGATGCTGTCTGGATTTTTCTGAACCAGTAGACGTTGGCATACCAGCAAGGGATTATTGTTCACGACGTCTTTTCAAACAACGATTAATTTTGAAAATTAGTCCACAATTTACAAAATCGATTAGTAACACTATTACCAATATTGTTGGCGTAGTTAAATAAAGTCGTCGTACACAAGCCCCAAAAAAAAACACCAAAAAACTAAAAAATAATCAGAAAAAAATATCCGACTGCTAAAAGCGTTTACAGAAATCCAACTGAAAATTGGACCTTAGAATTTTGCCCAGCACTGGGATTGGGTCGACGGTTGCTAGTGGTGGGTTGGGTCTGACCCGTCTGACCGCTGGTCTGACCCGTCTGGCCGCCAGTCTGACCCGTCTGACCACCCGTCTGATTGGTCTGACCATCTGTCTCTTCGAACATTAGGTGCAGACGTTGCACTTCGTCCCAGGCCACGTTTGATCTTCTTAACTTATTTGGATGCCCAATAACCTGTGCATGGAAACCCTAATTATTGTCTTTTGCGTTTTATGAGGTCTGAGAAATTTTATAATTCAATTTTCTACGTATAATTTTTTTATATTGCATTTGTCTATACGAATTTGATTATTTTTATCGATAATTGATTTTGTCAATTTGTGTTTTATAGATATTTTAATGTATTTAAAAAAATACTAAGGGTCGTAAATAAAATTCTACGAATTATTGCTCGATAGGCACTTTCTGAGGCCTTAATACGAGTTTCTTTTTCGTTTAAAGTAATCGAAACGAGACAACATTCTGTGCTCTGAGTACCAAGCACGAATAACTATCGCATTCGTAACGTAATAGTATCGAGCGAGTTAAGCATTCTGATTGGTTGGTTCACTTAAGCCGGCCAATCAGAGCGCCGAACGCGCTCGATACTATTACGTTACGAATGCGATAGTTATTAGTGCTTGGCCCTCTGATTGGCCGGCTCAAGTGAACCAACCAACGCTTAACTCGCTCGATACTGTTACGATACGAATGCGATAGTTATTCGTGCTTGGCCCTCTGATTGGCCGGCTCAAGTGAACCAACCAACGCTTAACTCGCTCGATACTGTTACGATACGAATGCGATAGTTATTCGTGCTTGGCACTCTGATTGGTTGGTTCATTAGAGGCGGCCAATCACAGCGCCGAACGCGTACTCGTTACGATTACTTCAAACAAAAAAGAAACTCGTACTAATGTCTCTGATGGTTTATTAAAATAAAGTCGTCCATCTGGTTTCTATTTTGTAGTGTAATTTGGTGTGTGGTGATACGCTGTCGCTGCGCAGCGTATTCGTTGCGGACGCGTGGCAAATACGTTGTATTACGCGTACCAACTATTGTTGCACATACGCAAGGAATTTGCTGCACAACCGAAGCGTGATCGCGAGGTATCGGCTGCACAAACGCGACATGTCTACCAGTCCATAAGGCTCTTAATACCACCATAACCCCATTAGTACCACCCACCATAGAATTAGTCACATGTATACGTACTACACTAACATCGACTGTGTCTATGTACTCGTCCTCGGAGTCGTGTCGTTGTCGTGCCGGCGTTGGAGATTCGCCGCGAGGTGAGGAGGCACCCGATACTGTAAGAGAAGCATAAGGTATTGAACAACGTTTTTAAATGGGTCACGCCTGCCACTACCTTCTAACGTCCAGTTTCTATAACCTATCTATCTGTAGATTTGCTTACTAGAGATAGAATTTTGACACATTTTGTATGGAGCTCATGTCAAAATTCTATCTCTAGTAAGCAAAGCTACAGATAGATAGGTTATAGAAACTGGACGTAAAACTGCTGAAACTCCTGTAAGCCAGGATCTACAGTAGATACAATGGTAAAACGAAGTCCGGTGCATCCCAGGTAGAGGTACATGAAACTGTCTTAGATCACGCAACGAAACATCTAACCCATCATTAAAATTTAAATCAATGAAACATGATAGTAAATTGTATGACAAGGGCACGGACCTAGAGTCCGTGGAGAATTAATCTGTAATATAAAAAAAAATACATGATAGTAATTAAATTACTCATTGAACTGCTCGCTCAAAAATCATTCTTTGTCATTTTCATAACATAACATCACGCCGTTTATCCCTGAAGGTGTACGCTGAGGTGCACATTATGCTTCTGTCTCATGTAATAGGGGATGAGCCTATTGCCATATACCGGGCACAATCCCAGAATCCATGCTACTACTGAGATTTAAAAAAAAACCCAGTAATACTTTGCCCGACCCGGGAATCGAACCCGAGACCCCTTGCCCGGCAGTCGCACTTGAGACCACTTGGCCAACGAGGCAGTCTTTGTCATTTTCTTATACCAAAACTCATAACGACTGCTGGATGGAGTGGTCCAGCAGTTCAGGAGTTACGATATGACCTACAATATTACTCCATAATTGTTTTATATAAAACTAGCTTTTACCCGCGGCTTCGCTCACGTCACAAAAGAATAAAAAGTAGCCTATGTGACATATACCAATACACACAGCGCCATCTATACCAATACTTTTGTTTTCCCTCGGGAATGTCAAAATTTTCCGGAATAAAAAGTAGCCTATTATTTAATCAGGACTTCTAACTTTACGTCTGCAAAAATTCAAAGCAATCGGTTTAGAAGTTACGGCGAGAAGGCGGAACAAACAAACAAACAAACTTACTTTCCCATTTATAATAGTAAGAATGACACTCACAAACAGGCGAGTTCTCTCCAGAGCGGACCCTCGCCAGGATGTCTCCTGCCACCAGCTCCAGATCGGCATTGTCATCATCCACTGACAGGAATGAGGCCACATCGGAGTTGTATGACATCGTTTCAACTATCTGTGCAGAAAATAAATCGTTTTGTAAAAAGTAAGAACACTGTACAAATAGATTAGTTGCCAGGGTAAAATTAAAAATATAATTAGTCCGTCAGTTACATAATGAAAAAATATTAGACACATTTTTTTTATTTTGTCGTATAAGAAAACAATACTTAGATAATAATGGCGTTAAGGTTAGGAGTGGGAGGTTATTACAATACTACATTTTGTAGGACGTTGTGACGTCACACGATTTATTAATTAATACATATATCGTCGAAAGTATTTAATTATGTGAGCAAAGAAAAAATATGTGTTTAAATTAATCTACCAGACGGACATTAAAATAAAATTTAAGAAACTACCCTGTTGTTGAAGACTGGCAAGTGGTTGTATTTATATTCTTCTTTAAATTATACATACATAACATCACGCCTTTTATCCCCGAAGGTGTAGGCAGAGGTGCACATTATGCCACTGTACAATGTAACACCCACTTTTCACTATTTATGTTATGAGTGCCATGTAATAGGGGGTGAGCCTATTGCCATATACCGGGCACAATTCCAGGCTCCGTGCTACTACTGAGAATTTTTAAAAACCCCAGTAATAAAAACTTTACTAGCTCGCACGCAGACGCACTTGCGACCACTCGGCCAACGAGGCAGTCTTTAAATTATATGCAACAAATATGGCGAAAGAGTATAAGGATGCAATAAACGTTTGAAAATTCCCAGTATTGCAATGGGGCTACTGTTTTATTGTTCACCATACAGCGCAAATGTACAAAGAGATTTTTAGTCCAATCACAGCAATTGTCAACTATTCGTTGAACGTCCAAAGAGGTGACACTATCTGAATCCTTTTCCTAGGCAAAGAATGAGAGGTTCACACTAACGCCATTTGGTGAACAAAAATACGATAGGCCCCATTGCAGCAGGCTCGACTCCTCCTCCAACATAACTGGTGGTGTTTCATTGCATATGCGCACCTCTGATTACCCCTTCGGAATTTAAAGGCCTAGTAGGTACAAGCAAATGCATGCTCAATACTCATGCTTAGCTATTTAGCAGAAAACTCGAACTCAAAGGCGAAAAGAATAGAAAATTGTCATAAATAAATTCAAATCAAATAACCAAATAAAATATTACAAAGTGCGTCAACTCCAGTCAACTCAATGTGTACGTAAAATAATTAGATCAAGATGAGTTTAGTATTCTAACTAATTGATTAAGAAATATCGAAACAAACTCAGGGGTCAGAGTATCTTTAACACCGTAATCGTCAGTCACTAAAACAAATCCTCTGGTAACTGATGAACAGAGAGCTATTTCCAGCGATTTAAGTGTGAAACTTAGAACACATGTGTTCAGACGTAATGATAACACAATATGGGATAACTCCGTAGGTTTATTTGAGATAGTATTTTGAATAAAGCCTCCTGCAATAATGAATGGACCTATTCTAACAGAATGCATTAGGTTTGAAGGAGCCGACTCGACTGACAATACGACCCAGAAAGTACATTTAGAATAATTTAATAGGACCGCAAATCTACACAATTATTTAGACTACGATAAAAGTGAATAAGGTACTACAACTAGTTTTTGTCAAGAAATGGAAAAAACCAAGAAACCCACAAGATACATCTAATAACAAAATATGTAATATACAAAAGGATGAAAGCCAAAGCAAAAATAAAAATGTAGATTAAAGTAACCGATTAATACAAGTACACCTCTGCCTAGCTTTTCGGGGAAGAACATTCTCTCATATATTTCCTTTATAACGTTTAGCACTTAGGTACATAATGATATTTCCCTACTTAACGTGTGTTAATAGCACTAACTCGCTAACTCGCCTCAATGTTTATTTGTATTATGACACAATAACGCATCGCTTGCAACTATATCCGCGTGGGTTTCCGTACAATTCTCGTAAAAAACATATTCTTTTTAATCCCCGAAATGGTAGTCAAAGGTGGACATTAAATGTAAACCAACCTTGATGAAGTTCATAGTGGTTGGGACAAAATCCCCGTAAAAGTTATAAAACTAGCTACAATTTGTAATTGTTCCCATTAGCTCACCTCACTAATCTTTTGTTCCAAAAGGGTTTCTTGGTTGACCTGTTAAAACAATCACAGAGACGATGTCATTGGCTACAGACGAAAAATAACTAAATTATAGAATAATTCCACTATAACGTAAATAACTACTAAATTTATTGCCCTACTGGTAATTCGCTTTTAGGTATAAATAATCCAATGAAAATGCAGTTACTGCTTTGAGTTCTTTTGTAACTTAGTAACTTGATTTTATTGTATTCTTAGTCCTAGAAGAGGCATTTGACACCGTCTCTGGCCCAGTCTTGGTGAGAAAACTGGAAAGAACTAATGTATGGGATATAGCTCTCGAAAGAACTAATGTATCAATAAATTGGAAGAACATCTCTCGCAGAGAGTAAGAAAGTTAGGATAGGTTATCACTTGTGTCAGTGACTCGAAACGGAAGCATTACTGGGTGTTCCACAGGGAAGCATAATATGCCCAACGAGTTATATGTGAATGACCTCTGCAACATGAACATGAATATGCTGGTAGTTGGAGGCTAGTGATCTGTATTAGTTTTCGAGAAACTTCTAGTATGAGGTGAAATAAAAGGCAGAGTTGGGCATGGACAAGAGGCTACCCATCGGTTTAATGAACTCGATGTATTAGTGCTATCAAAAGTGGGGTTATATTATACTGCAGTTTAGTGACGTAGATTTTGAAGCTGGTTTGCAACCGGCGCAATAGGGAAGGGCATCGTTTTTGGGACATTTCTGATGAGGTTACAGAATTGAGACAGCCTCATCAATAACTCGAAATGCATTATATTTTTGTATTGTATTGTACTGTACGAGTTCAAGTGCAAAATGTGAATATGGTTATTTTTACATGTGACAAATGATGCAGTAATTCTGAACAAAGTATGTAACAACTTAAAAGAATTGTTTACCTTGTGTAATTCGTCCACATACGCCTGCATAGCTTCGTCTTTTGTCATGTTTCCAAGTTTGTTCCAGGATTCCCATTTTGCTCTGAAAACAATAAAAAATAATTTAAAACATTTAGGTGGGTCCAAATCCTTCATCAATCAATCATCATCTTCATCGGTAGATTGAATTCAGTGGTGTACTATTGGAGTTTCGGTGATGAAGTTTCTAGTAGTCACTGTACCAACCGCTTGCATATTATTTCTGCCGAATGAATGAGGTTACCGAAAGCCCAATCTCCCTTTTTTCCCGAAGAGATGAATTTTTGGGTGATTTAGAGGGTCTCCCTAATTTTACGGGTGTCCACGAGCAGCGCTGATTGATTATTATCAAGTGATTTATCTGCTCGTATACCGGTTCATCCAGTTATCATAAAAATATACGGTGCTGACCTGTTCACGACATCCCAGAATCCAGGTTTTGGCTTATCACACGGTCCCTCTGTGGCCTGTTTGAAGTAACTGTAGAAACGAAGCATCAACTCATTGCTCGGCTGGTACGATCCTGCAAAGATAGAAATTTGAATTTAAGAAAACATATTTAACATAACATAACATCACGCCTTTTATCCCCGAAGGGGTAGGCAGAGGTGCACATTATACCACTGTACAATGTAACAACCACTTTTCACTATTTATGTTAGGAGTCCCAGGTAATAGGGGGTGAGCCTATTGCCATATACCGGGCACATTTTCATACTCCGTGCTACTACTGAGATTTTTTTAAAACCCAGTAGTACTTTGCCCGACCCTGGCCTTCCGCCTTCGGTTCCGATAAAACTACTTCCGTTACATCCCTTGTATATAGGTACTATATACCTATCAGATCTCTTTTTGTGACTTCGTCCGTGTGGAACATAGGACATTTTTCTCGGTTAAGTCCCGATTGTGTAGGAATGTCTGTTGTCGGCATTAAAAAGCCTATGTTACTCCCTAAAAAGCAAGCTTCCTAATAGTGGCAGAACTTTTTAATCTATTTGTTCCAAACGGGTAAAGTTTTCCTCTTTATTGGCATGGATTAGTATGAACTAAGAAGGTGAAGAATTGAGCTAGTTAATCTCATATAGTACAAAAAGTCTCTGATTAATTACGCCTTTTTAAATTCTTTAACCCACCCAAAACTCTTCAAGTTTGGCAAACCCACGAGACGTAGACAGACAGATAACTTCAATTTAATAAAAATGTAAAATCTAAATTCTCAACTTAAATAAATATCCTTCAGTGAATGCAAGGTTGTTTCTAAAACAGTATATAATTATAAAATATACATAGTGATGTGGTTCAATGCAACTATTCGTGCGTGTCAAGGTTCAAGTGGCCATTTTAATTTACTAGATCTTTCTGGAACATTGTACGCGTATTTTAAATGGTTGGTAATAGATAAACCTATGATAATGGCACAGTATAGTACGTATGTCAACCACCTCTTCCTCCCGAGCTTACGGCGCGTCATGTTCCGCGCACGCCTCATGGAGCCATCAGACCACCACAAATGGGGCCCAATGGGGCTGATGCCGATACGAGCCGCGGAGGACTTAACGAGTTGCCGGGGCTCCGGCTCGAAGTGCAGGAGTACGAACGGGGTGGTTTTTAGTCAGTAAGAGTCTGACACTCCCTATCGTTTCACCCGGGCGGGAGAAGTCATTGGATGATTTTCCCTCCTCAAAACCAACCTCTTCCTGCTGATATCGTGAGGGCCTATTAAGATAATTTTTAGTAGAAACTCCATACAATACAACTAAAGTCAAACATCGTTCCCACATAAATTCTTATCCACAGATTCTGGATTGAGGTTATTTATTAATTTCGACCGTAAAAGACTACACATTCAACAGTGACCGTGCAGCACTGTTCTCTGATGAACCTTTTAGACTGCGATATTTCCAACCCACCTGCCTAGCGTAGAGCTTGCCGTAATATACGGCCAGCCGGCCATAAGAGGAGGTCCATAAACAGTACCTACACTGCCATAGACATATGATAATATCAGGGGTCTTACTCTTGAATCCAATTCCGATCGATCGACATTGGTATTGTGAAATTTCGTACTCTCGAGTTGCAACACTAGCGCCAATTGCATCCGTATTGCGTGAATATTGAATGAACTTAATGGTATTGAGTTTGACTTTATTTTCCGTACTCTGAATGCTATTCCAACAGCTACGGTAGGGGTTGTATAGTTTTGACATTGATTCAATATTGAGTTTTTATTGGATTGAAATTGCATTGACATTCAGATTGGTTTCAAAAGTAAGCACCCAGATCTATAACATTGCATTGAGTTTGTTTTGGTCAAACATATTAATGCAAACCTACTATGCAAATATGATAACGGCATGTATTCGTCGGAAATTACATGATAACTTATTACCACATTCAATTTGAACCTTATCAACGAGAGTTAGAATACAATTTACACTATCATTGTCATTCTTTGTTCCATCCGGAGTTTGAACTCGTGACCTCAGTCTGTTTGTCTACAAAGTGTGATATAAATATAAAATATTATTTATATATAATTTTATGTATGAAAACATCTGCGACAGTCATAAAAAATCTATAAAAATAGTTTTTGTTGGTTTCTAAGAATGCTGCAATTTACTTGACGAGTACTAAGACAATAATACGAATGTTTGTATGTACACGCAGTAACTATTGTTCATAAAAACTATAATTTATTTATCTTTTGTCTAACTAAAGTGACTTTGAGCCGGCAGCTTCACTGGTGTAGTCAGAACCATAATATAGAAATAGAAATTTATTCGCAAGAACACGTAATACAATGGATCTTAACTCGTCGAGTACCGGTTTTATAGACACAATTAAAGAACAATAGGTCGCGGTCACCGGTGACCGCTTGGTGTTTGACAGTTTAATCTATTTTTTAACAGTACAGTGTATTCCACCTTTTTCAGGCATGCAAATGTTAATTTAATTTATGTAATTAATTATTAAGTAATGTCAAAATAATAATTTGAAAATGTCAAATAAAAATTTCAAATACAAGTCATATGTGTACAAAAATCCGTATAGTAGTTTTTGAATTTATCGCATTCATAATTATAATGGATGGAAAGGACAAAACGTAAGAACTAAATAGGTACCTAATCGATAATAACCTACTTAAGGTTTTACTTCATCCCAGTAAGATCAACTGGGAAAAAACCCGCTGAAAACCGCTGGGAAAAAGAAGGATTTCCTCCTGTTTCGTGGGTGCGTTTACAAACAAGTTCACATATACAGGACCCCCAGACTCGGAACAACAATATATGAATCACACAAAGAGTTGTTCCGTGCGGGAATAGAACCCGCGACACGTTGCGCGGCAGCCGGTTGCACAGCCATCGCACCAGCCGTGCAGTCAGTATTCATACGAAAATGTCACAACAAACAAATTAGTTACACAAAAAGTAGAATTTGCGACAAAAATCTGCAATTGTAAGACCCCTAACTGTGTACTAACGACTTCTAATGATAATGATTATTACACAAGATAATTTGGCTAGAGTCGGTAGTAAGTGAAAGTTACTGTGAACGTTTTATAGACACGAGGTAACTTTCTTTGTCACATTTTTCGGTGAACGGACGAAATGTGTCAAATTGAATAGAAATAGAAGCTCACTTACGATGTGAAGTTATAGAAGAATTACTGCGTTTAAATGTGAGTAAACGTGATGTGATATGGTTTACTTTATAGCCTTGGAAACTAAGTTAATAATTATCAAAAATAGTAGCTTGTCAAGAAATATTAGAGAGAGAGGAGAAAAATTCAAGGTAGATTTTTGAATGTTATAAGCAATTTCTCTGTTTAAGTAATTCGCCCAGTTTTTATTTCTAACATAACATAACATCACGCCTTTGATCCCCGATAGGGTAGGCAGAGGTGCACATTAAGGCAGTTAATGCCACTGTACAATGTAACACCCACTTTTCACTATTTATGTTATAAGTCCCATGTAATAGGGGGTGAGTCTATTGCCATATACCGGGCACAATTCCAGACTCCGTGCTACTACTGAGATTTTTTTTAATTCTGTGTCTGTCTAGGGATTTCAATTCTGTTCCAATAAATTAAGATAACTGATTGCAAAATAAAATGCACTCATCATTTACAAGTGACTGTATTGTGTTTTACTTAAAACCTAGAAGAAAAAGAAGATGCCTGCTGCTCAGAGCAAGATCATTTTTGGCAGCCCATCAAAATCTACCGATTATCCAGCCAACACCTTCAAAGACTACTTACAACTACAACCACAATTACTTAATAAATAATACAGTTATCATCACCTACTTATACAAACTGGTTCTCACACATCACGCGGTAGAAATTACTGGTCTTACAAGTGATGGGTGGACCTTGAACTGCTCGTGTTTATCAACAAATTACGAATCAAATTCATTCTTAACTTTTTATAGAGATACTTTAATGGTTTAGTAGCAGTGTAAAACAAAAATGCTTTGGTTGGCTCGGATGTCAACGGTGGCAACTATTAGAGACAATACCCTCAGTCATAAAATAATCTTCATCAACAACCTATATATGCACACTGCTAAGCAAAGCCTCTTCTCACACGAAGAAGGTTTGAGCATTAATCACCACGCTTGCTTCAAAATCTACCATCAGCAAGTACTAAATTGGCTTTTTCATGTACCCTATAAGATTACAAACGGTGAAGGAAAACATCGTGAGGAAACCCGGGCTTATAATTTCTAATTATAAGTTGAGTCCAACCTGCATTGAGTAAGCGTGGCGATGAATGGTCAAACCTTCTTCGTGTAAGACGAGGCCTTTGGTCAGCAGTGGCCACTAATAGCCTGTTGATGTAGTCTCCAACAAGTTGGAAATAGGAGTTTAAAAGGATCAGGTTTATCAGAGACTGCTGCTGTCATTTCTCTGTCAAGTTTAAGACGCATTCCCCTAAGAAATCGAGTGGAGTAATGTAAGCGAACGAAATAGATATTTGCACTATCAAAATATGCGTGCTTGTGCCCCATATAAACTAAAGATACCATCAAACTATACTTCTATAGTTCTATACCATCTTTTATTGTTCCAAATAAATTGCTTTTGTAATTAAACCATTAGTAAAATGATCGAGATAGTATTGCCATTAACCGCAGCGTTAATAAAAATGGTTAATTGGAAATTTCCTTTTTACTCTTGATATCTTCTGAATGAATATCTCACAGAAAACCGAAGTGAAGCAACGCTTGCGTTGTGTTTCGTCGTATGAGTGAGGTTACCGGAGGCCCAATTACCCTCCCCTTCCCCAATCTCCCCAATCCCTGAATCCCCAACCATCCTCAAACTCCTAATCCCCAAAAGGGCGGTAACGCACTTGTAACGCCTCTGGTGTTCCAGGCGTCCATGGGCGACACCAATTCCTTACCATCAGGTGATCCATCTGCTCGTTTACCGTTTCATCACATAAAAAAGGCGCGATGTTATGAATCAACTGTAAACTAAAGCCACAAAAGGATCGATATTTCGATACAAGCCGTTGT